CAGCAAACAGCAATAGGTACCGGTGACAAATAAATGATATTCAAGTACTTGCTTACTGTTAGAAAGCGATCGATGTGAGCACAGATTCCGGTAGAGCATACCGAATGCTATTCTCTTTAAGCTGTATTACTACTGCTGAACCACACTAGTATAAGCTGGGCGTAACGTCCAACAATCCACATACAACTATGTCAAGTTGGTGGAGTAGTACGTGCGACGAGGCAAAAAGTAAAAACTATTCATCACCAATCTGTTCATTCACCATTCAATGTTCTATCGTGCTTCCTACCAAGGAGTAATAAACTTACTGATTTGCATATTCCTTTCTGCTTTCGTAGGAGCAATATTTTCCTATGCTTAGGACAAGATACCCCACACATCAGTGAATTTCTTGGAATGTAACTAAACAGTGCCAAGTTTGCTAGCTTTCACGATACAGTTTTTATCAATGACTTACCAAAGTCCGAAAGTTTTTGAATAACACTGTGTCTAGTTCGAAATTCTCAATTTTATAGCACATTTAAAGAGAGAGGTAAACATTAAATAGAAGCGATTCAATATTAAAGTATAAAAATAAAGTTCAAGTCATTGTATGTTAAATAAAGTTCAAGTCAATCATTCTAAAATTTTGAAATTCCGGAAACTCTTATAATTTACAAAAGATACTTTTACGAGATATTCAGTTGACGTGTGTTACGGCATATGTCGCAAACGTCACGTGCTTATTCTTTCTATTTCAAGTCATTCCACTGTGAACATCTACAAAGTAGCGACATCATCGAATTAAGTGAAAGTTGTAATTCAGTCTGCTTTGTTTGTCACCAGTCAGAATTAATCTAAATGAGGCGAAAAGATAAAAGGAAGTAAGGACATAATCTTATTAATGGTTATATAAATTGTTCATGGTGCTGAGAAGCTCGTAGGTTAGTCCAAATTTATTGTATATAGTATATCAGGCGATATGAGTTCACCCTATATAATAACAAATAAAATGCACTCGACGATCCTCTTTAGACTGAGAATGCTTTGTGACTGAAAATAGTCCAAGGCATTCAGAATCGCTTGTATTATTTTACTTTGACTTTTTGAAATTCTTATCGGTATTCCCTCCTTTCTTCATACTTTCTTGTGGTAACTTACAAGCACAATCATTAATAAATACATGTTAATGACTGTGTCGTATATCATCGAAAGTATCATTCAAATCATAGCAACTTCTTTGTTTGTTTATTGTACAGCGAACAGTTTTAGTGATATATTACTTAACACATTTATCCATGCTGCTGATTGGAACAAGAATAAACCAGTGAGAAACTTCCGTAAAAAGGGGAGAAGGAGCGGTGTGAAATATAAGCATGAAAAGCAATAATTTCACGGTCTATAATTACTATTTTATTGTTTTGATGGTAATATTATTTTCATGCTTGTGAAATATTTGTGAGTCTTTCCTTCAGCAATATGGTTTTCCCAGTTTCATTGCTTGAAAAGATTCCATTTCCTATATTTTGTTGCTATATTTTCTTCACTAAAATGAAAGATGAAAGGCTAGAACTAAATGATGCAAAGGAATCTTGAAATGGCCGTAAATTATCGAAGTTGATAAATGTTAGAGGAATGCATTCTCTCAGCAAAGAAATGAACTGAATAATTTTGAGTTGAAAATGACCGTGCGACGAAATCAAAATGTAGAAATTAAACTAATATATTAATTTTTGAAATAGATGAATATGCATTTGTGAGAAAGTCAATGAAATAAGACGAATGTCAAATTTAATTTCAAAATGGGTATTAAATTGAGCTATGTCAAAATTTTTATATCAAATAAAACTGACCATAGCATCAGTTGCTCTTTTCCCTTCGATAATAACATAATCAAATCAGGGAAACTTTTAGCCAAATATAAGTCAAAAGGTAAAAGAGTATGGTAAGATATAATTCAATAAGTGTGCAGTGCCTTAGTTTTGAACTGACTATTGGAGAATGAGAAAAAAGAAGGCTAATGACGTATATAGCATTCGATGCGATAACAGAGAAAGACAGAAATGGTAAACGAGGTGGAGAAGCAAGACAAACGGTAAGCTTTTTTCCTCTTTTTAGTATCTATTCATGATTGATTAATCATTTCAACTTCAACTTCCACCTCTTCCCGTGCCAATATGTATATTTATGAAATCATCCTCGCTCATTGTCATGCTAACAAGAATTACTGGAGCAATTCCTGTAATCATCACTATAACTGTTACTATAGCTATAACTGTAATTGCACCCAAAAATCCTTTCACTAAGTGAAGCGATAGAAGAGGAAAAGGTAGCACATGCTTCAGCAGTAGCACTAACTGTTGTTTTTAAATACACAGTGCAACTTACAGTTGCTGTATATGTGTATGCGTGCATTAATGTATGTTAAATGTGTCGCGTACTTTGGTGGTTAATGAGCGATCACATGCTATTTGTCAGGAAACAAGTTCACAATCCCGTTACTTTTCCTACAGCATAGCAGCTACCTAACCATCAAGCTATATTTTTGCGCGCCGTCATCTTCATCATCCACACTTCAATATAATGCAAATATTTAGCAGCTATTAATTGTTATTGCTGATTTTAATTTCGTATCTGAATAATCTCCGGGTTATTCATTTATTTCTTTCTGGAGTGATAAATTCAGATCTTCAAGATAACAACTGCGTAATCTGAAATAGCTATATCTACGTAACACTTTAAACGTCACGTAGAGTATTATATCTGTCAAAAACACAAAGTGGAATAAGAACTGTTGATAGATAGATCAAAATAGAGTTATTCAATGACAAATCAATCCATGGTTTCGAAATAGTAAGCATTTTATCAGCAACTTATCAATGTGGCAAAATAAAGAGAAAAGAGGAAGTGAAAGCTGTCAAAAAGTGATGGTGATGATGATGATGCAAAAAGGAAAGCAGGTGAGCATTGTTCAGCTAATTGTTTCCACTTCCAATTAGAAACAAGTTTTTCGTTTTTTTTCCATATTAAAGTAGGAGGGAGGTAGAAAGAGAAATTAAAAGAGCAAAATCCAAATAGCTCTTTTAACAGAGTAAAGCTTTTCTCAGCTTTTTTGTATATTTGCATTTGTAACTAACTAATCTGCTCTGTCCTCGTAAGTTATTTCTTTAATATATCTTAATTTCTCCTTTTCTTTACAACTAGATCAGATCTTTGAATAATTCTCATCTGCTGATTTTTTTTTGCCAAGTTCTAGTGCTAACAACTTTGTTGACATTAATAGGAGAAGCAACAGGAGATCAGTAAAAATAAAAAATAATGATAAATAGGTTTTCCCGTACTTTTCCCTTTTTTATTTCGTTCCGAAGCATTTTTTTCTTTATCTTCTGTAATAAAAAGAAAGCATGATATAAATTTCCCGACAATATAAACTTGTCACAGTTACTGCAACTGTTGCTTGCAACAACTAGGTATATCTCCCAGATGACCACAGGTACAACAATAATATTATTGCTAAAACTGTAGAAATTATATAACTTCAACAAACATCCTATAAGTAGCGTTCATTAACCAATTTACCAAATACGCTATGATTTGAAAGAAACGCTGAGGCTTGTTATCTCACCAATTTTTAATTCCTTTTGGTTCTAATTTATTTTTTGTATTAGTCATTATGTCTATCATTCATTTGAACAAAAAAAATTAAAGTTTTACATTTAAAAAGTCAACCATTTGCAATTAAGCAGAATAGTAGTACTCATGAATTACAAAAGAAATATTTAAAGATATCACTGTTATTGAAAATGGAATGCAGTGATTAAGCTAATAAGCACGATGACATATTACCGTAAGCCTAATCCAATACGACTGCAGTGAATGGACTATAAGGATGAGAAGAAGCAGGAATAGCAGAGAAATAGCTGGTATCAAAGAGAATGTAGGAGAAAGATGTGCATTGAATAGCAGCCAATGAACAATCAGTGGAACTGCTAACGCTACACTGCTGATTTGGGCCAGACGACCAACTACCAGTAGGTGATGGCAGTGCTACAACTGCTTATGCTGAAACAATCAACATGTTGTTGATATGGTAACTTTGATAGTGTAATGATGATAACAACAATGACTTCGTTGCAGAGGTTAACAGCAATACTTTACCAATATGTTAACATTCTTTTAACTCATAGCCAGCTATTATCTTTTAACAACACATAGGTAAAGAATGTACCTATATTTCACCATGAATCATCATTTAAAATTTCTTTCAGTATTAATTTGATAGATTTTTGCAATAAATCGATTGCCTTTTTCTATGTCAGTCTTTCGGCCTTTTCGATGGTAAATTTGAGATTATAGACAGAAATCCCGAAATAAATGTTACTTCCAAGACAGTAAATTTCACTTAAACTTGATGCAGGCTCGAAGAGAATGATGACTTAATACCTCCGAAAAAGTTTTCCCATTTGCAATTGAGTGATAAATATATAAGTGGTCCTGGAAGGCACAACCTTGAAAAAGATGTGATCTGAAGCGAAAATTGGTTATATTGAGACATCAGCTTCTATATATCTTAATTCATCCTGTTATCACTTCTTCCAAAAATAAAAACGACAAAATCTTAAAATGAACTCGAAGTCCTTATATGGAAATTTTTTGATGTAAAAGCGAAAATGTGGGGGACATTCTGGTAAAACAATTCAGCGTGGAAAATGGATATAAGTTGCAATGGCTTTCAACAAAAAAATCACACATCATTTCAGAGAAACAAATAAAACTCGTTACAAAATAACGGACGAAGAAAGAGGGCACGAAGAGCACTTACATATTGGGGTCTACCGACCTGGACGCTCTGATTGATGATGAAAAATCAAAAGAGAAATAAAGGAACAATCATGAACAAACCAAACAATAAATACTACAAATCACCAGCACTCAGTTTTGTGATGTTTCTTGTCAAAATATATTGACATGGATTGGAATCGTTTTTTATAGGTTAAATAGATAGGTTGTTTAAAGTAAATTTACAAAATCTTCTTAAGTATCCTTAAACTCAATGCAATGCATTCATCATCTGCTAATGGTGCGACGCACGTTTCACAAACACATAAGTCTGAAGAAAGAAACGTCCGATGGCCAATTTTATGATTAGACTTGGGTTTAAGCTTTTTGTCAACACGTGGCACTGTCTTTCGAGTTACAAGTACTACAACTATTTCATACCACTTCACTGTCACCCTTTCACCGTAACACTGTGATGAAATAGTTAATTCAGATTACATGAATTCAAAGCAAAATTGATGAATGGAACTTGGGTGAACTAAAATTTTGCTTTTTTGCATATGATCAAATCAACACTAAACAAAATGATTTCCTACATTCACGACTTTCATTTAAAAGTGAAACCTAATATAGTAGGAAAAATTAAGCAACAGCAGAAAATCTTGATAAGATTTCTAAATGAAATGAGATAAGAGAGGACAAACATTGTTTTATAATGACTGCAATTTTTCAGTAAAGGAGCACTGATATTTTTAAAGAAGTTCTTTAAATTTTACTCTCATTCTTTAAAAAGCGGAAGATAAGATTGAAAGAACTGAAAGTATGTTCGACTAGTAGAACTGTATGATGTAGGTGATGTAAGGCTCAACCTAAATATCGAATTGTTGTCGTTAAGTTGTTGTCGGATTGGATGCTTATGATAAGCTTAATATAAAGATATATTTTGCTTAAAAATTAGGTGATGAAGGCAGAGCTCAAAACGATATACCGCTCTCTTGCGTTTGTAATTGCTGAAAGTAATAATTGTTACTGGATTAAACGCAATCTTACGTAACACACTTCCAACACGACATGTTGAAAACAGTCGTTGATCATCAGCAACCGACTAAATGAGAATTTTCTTATACAAAATGTATAGCTTAAACTCGCTTTAATCTGGAAAAAGTAGCTAGAACTGAATGTCTGTCACTTTGAAAATATTGTTGAAAAAATCAAAAATGTTGGAATGATTAGCGTGATAACTTTTGGGTTAATTTAGTAGGTGAGAAAATGCTAAGGAATATACTTATTATGAGCTAAGAAGAGGAAACAAAGAATGAAAATAATAACTATTCACAAACTATGGATCTCCGTAAAATTCCTGAATGAAATAGCAAAAGCACCAATCATGCAGAACTAAATTGTATGATATGTTTTGAATCTGAAAGAATTTATGAAAAACTTTTGCTTTATAGTAAAATTATGTTAACGTATAAATATAAATAAAGGAACGGAAAAAAATTTCGCATTTCTCTGCATTAAATTTTTAAGCAAATCTCATATAAGGACTGTCTTTAGTTCAAAAAATCCTGAAATCTATTCCGACCCTCGAAAACCACAAATCGCCATCTTTGAGAACTAAGGAAATCAGTGAGTGTGCTATTTGGTAGGATATCGATATGAATGGTAATGATATGGATGATGTTGGTTGGGGCAAGACTCAGCTAAAGTGGTAGGGGAGAGAAGCATAAGTAGTAGTAGTAGTAGTAATAGCAGTAATAGTAGTAGTTTAGGTGAAGGTCGGTGGTTGACCGAAAGCATGCGACCGAATGCCAGAACATGTGGAGATGGTAGGCGTTACGTACTGTCGTCCATCTTTGATTGTCCTCTCTGTACATTATATATATACATATATATATATATATATATATATATATATAT